GGAGAGAATGTGGAAGCAGAAGAGCCGGGACCATCACTGAGATTTGGGGAAGTGGAATTAAAGGAAGAGTGGCAAGATGAAGAGTTCCCCCGGTGAGAGGATGGGGAAAAAGAAAGTGGAGTCGGGATGTATAGGAAGAGAGGATCAGGAAGCCCTGAGAGCATCAGTGGGGAGACAGGAGTGGCAAAGTGACCGTGGGAAGAGCAGGATTTAGCACGCTATGCCCAATTTCTTCCTGTTCTCTTCAACTAATTAATTTCCCATATCCCAGACTGCTCCCTGAGGAGATCCATTCCTCTGAAGATCCAGAGGACAGTAGAGAAGGTACCCAGATGGGTGAGTAAGGGCAGAGCTGGGTACCAAGCCTGGGTTTTTACTGTGGGGAGGGGGTGCCTCCCTTTGCCATCCTCAATACTTGCCCAGTTCCCCTTCTCTTGTGTTCCTCTCATCAGGTCCACCCTCCTCCCTCCCCCCTTGCTGTTCCCAAGCTGTTTAATTTACCTTTTTCCTCTCTTCAGTTCTCTTCTCCCTGTTGCCCTAGGTCCCTTAAACACTTTAGCACTATGTGGCAGGCGTCACATGCGGAAGCGCCTTTCAGCCCCAGAGCTCCAGCTGAGCTTAGGGGAGGACACAGGAGATAAAGAAGCCTCTCCCACCCACTCCACACCTTCTTCCCCACATGGTAGCTCTGACCTAGATGTGGATGATTTGGAGACACCCTCAGACTCGGAACAGCTGGACAGCGAGCCTGACTTTGAATGGGAAGGTAGGAACTGAGCTAGAATAACTGAGGGCTGAGGGCATGAATGGATCAGGCTAGAATAACAGGGCTAATAAAGTGGGAGACGATATTAAGAGGGCAAGGGGCCAGTGGGGGTAAAGGTGTAGTTAGCAAGTCTGTAAGGGGTATAGCTGGTAGAGCTGAGAAATAATCACTCGAAGTTAATAGGATTGATCTAAGATATGAATTGTCCAAGTGCAGTGGGCTGTTCACAAAGTAGTCAGTTCCCCCAATGGTGGTCTTCAAACAGAGGCTGAATAGCCACTGGTCGGGAATATTCTAAAGGGGTCTTTTTTTTTTTTTTTTTGGCAGAAGTTGGACTAGATGGCCCCTAGGCTTCATTCCCTCTTTTACATTCTGTGAACTAAAAGAGTAGCTGGTAAGGGGCTGGTCTGATACAGACTCCTTGCCAGTGAGATAAAAATTCAGTTAAAAAAAAAAGTTCAATAAAAATCATACTGGATTTAGAGTCAGAAGACCTCAATTTGAGGCCCTCTGTTCAGGCCTCAGAGCAAACTGAGGTGACCAAACTAGATAGCCTTTAAGGTGTCTTCTAACTAAATGTTTTGATTTTGAAAATGGGAATAAAACTGGGAGGTCAGCATGGGAAAGAAGCTAATAAGGCAGTAGGTGAGGCTAACAGAGTCATAACCAGGAATGTGTGTATCTGTGTGCATTTTTTATGTACTTAAATATAATGCATTTATAAATTTATATGTTATACACACACATATACATAGATACATATTTTACGTGTATTTGTATTTGCAAGCTCTTTATATCAAAAGGGCCATAAAAGTAATTAGTGGGCACATAAAAATTAAATAACTGGTTGCTGGAAAGGACTTTCATTTGGGGCATAAGTCCCCAAATGGAAGAAGACCACCAGTTGTCCCCACTGTGGGTAAACTCTGGCTGTATTCTCTGAGAATTGGAGAATAAAGGTTGAAGTGAGGTGATAGGGAGATGAATGGGAATGTAACCTAGTGCTCATGGTCATTTTGCTTCTGTTACACCCAAGAGTAATGAGTGTAAATTCATCTAACCTGTTCCTGTCTCTTTAGATGAGCTTCCCCAAACAGAGGGCCTAGGGGCAAGTGAAGCAGCTGAAAGACTGGGCCAGGGTTGTGTGTGGGATGTGGCTGGGGAGGATGGTCATCGGTGGAAGGTGTTCCGAATAGGACATCGGGAGCTTCGAGTGGATATGACAGTCATTGAACCCTATAAGAAGGTCCTGTCTCATGGAGGTAAGAGATGACAGGAGGATAAATATAGGAGCTGGGGACTATCAGTCCCCATCACCATTCTAACTTCCTAACTCCCTGTCCCTTTCCCTCCTGGTCTGCTCTCAAGCTACTTCTCTCAGATTTCACTAATTCTCTTTTCCTTCCTTCCCCTAATCCTGTCCTCCCCAGGTTACCATGGTGATGGCCTCAATGCTATTATCCTTTTTGCTTCCTGTTACCTACCCAGAAACAGCATCCCTAACTACAATTATATCATGGAGCACCTGTTTAGGTGAGGAGGGAAACCTGAAAAATTGTGGGGAGAGGGGACTGAAGGAGGGAGGGGAAAAGAAGTCAAAAAGACCTATAATATAATCAGTAATCAGTGTTACACTTTTCTCCTCTTCATTCCCCCTCCCCACTCAATTCCACCCTCAGGTACATAGTGGGGACTCTAGAACTATTAGTAGCTGAGAATTACCTGCTTGTGCACCTGAATGGAGGCACAAGCCGAGCCCAGGTACCCCCTCTGAGTTGGATCCGCCAATGTTACCATACCCTGGACCGTCGGTGAGAAGCCTGGCAAAGATCATGATTATTGGCTGTTCCTACCCCCTCCTTTCTCCTCCCTTGGTCTCCCTCTCTTTATTTTCCCCCATCCTTTCTTCTCTGTTCCCTTTTTTCCTTCTCTCCCTTTCCCCAAATATCCCTCCTCTCATTTATTTTTGCTCTGTCCCTGCCTTCCAGGCTCATGTTTCCTTTTTCTCTCAGCCTTTCTTGATCTCCTCTAGTCAATGACTATGTGCCACCTGGAGTTCTTGTACAAGAACTCTGTGGAATAGAAAGAACTCGAGAGGGAACAAAGGAGACACAAGAATGAGGACGAAATAGGAAACTACAGATAGGGGAGTCCAGAGAAAGTAAGCTGAAGGCCTGTGTTCCCAAGCTGGGGTGGATTGGAGACAGAAGACATTTCAGGAATTTTTTTAGAATGAGGAGGGCATGAGAGACCAAAAAAAAAAAAAGTGAGGGCCTCAGACTGCAGCTAGAAGAATGAGGGTTAGACCTCAAAGGGTAAGTCCTAATGGAGGATTGCAAATGGATGTTGATCAAAGGGGGTATGAAGAAGATACAGAGGAGACCTTCATCTGGGCTTGGGGCTCAGATTAAGAAGAAGAATGTGATGATCCCACACTTTTTGCTTCAGACTCCGAAAAAACCTTCATGCACTGTTGGTTGTCCATGCCACATGGTACGTGAAGGCATTTCTGGTGATGCTCCGGCCTTTTATCAGGTATTTACCTCAGGGGATACAGGCATCCTCCTCGGACCCACTGCCCTTTTCTCTTCCTCACATTCAGGGCCCAGACCCTTTCTGGCTCTAACCATTCTTCCCTGTACCAACTAACTACTGATTACCCTTGTATTCTATGAAGATGTATGAGACCTGTTTCTCTAATCTTAAATACACATGACTTTTCCTCTATCCTGAGTTCCAAGTTTAGCAGAAAGGTTCGTTTTCTGGACAGTCTAGGAGAGCTGGCCCAGCTCATCTCCTTGGAACATATCCACATCCCTGATGCTGTCAGACAGTGAGTTCTGGGAGGGACTCCTAGGGTGGGAGAGAGGGGAGAAATAGACAAGCAGAATCATGTGGAGAGAGAAGAAATGAAAGACCTAGTTCTTACCTTCAGAACTTTACACTTAAAACTTAACTGGGAGACCCAGCACTCATAAGAAAGTGACTTAGGAATTCCCTGTATTTGGCCCATGCAAATATGTTGATTATAGGCTGGGCAAAATCCTAGGGAGACAAAAAAAGAGTGGGCAGAGCAGGATAGGGTTAGAAGAGAAGGCTCTCCTGAGGTGAGTTTGGAAAGAGGGGAGGGACAAAAATCATGGGATCAAAGATTGGAAAATGGGAGGGACCTCAACTGTCATCTACTCTGTTGAGGAGGGAGCTGAAGTTTAGAGATGTGGGTGGCTTGATCAAGATTACACAGGTAGTAACTAACTAATGTGGAAATATATTTAATATGATGGTGCGTGTATAACCTCTATAAGATTGCTTGCTGTCTTGGGGAGAAGGGTGGGAAGAGAGAAAGGGAGAAAATTTTGGAAACCAAAATCTTATAAAAGTGAATGTTGAAAACTATCTTTACATGTAATTGGAAAAATAAAATAAAATATTAAGTGGGGAAGGGGGGAAGATTGCACAGGTAGTGAGCAGCAAAGCCCCATTTGAAACCAAAATCCAGCACATACAATGTGGGGAGACTGGTCATAGTTTTGAGAGGGCAGATTTTATGTAGAGAAGCTAAGGAGTGAGGAAGAGTAGAAGGGACTCAGACATCTATTTACTAGATCCACTCCTTCACCCAAGTAATAGTAAGGTGTGCAGATATGATGCTCCACTCTTTGTCCTTTCTCTCGCCCTGCAACCTAGGTTGGACAAGGATATGCATGGCTCTGGAGGGACCTAGCACTGATGTCTGAATTGGCTAATTGAGCCCTAGAACCAAGGAAGGAGACTGCCCTCCTGCACCTGAACTTCCTGAATTTATATATACTCTGTCTCTGGGTCTCTGTCTGTCTCTTTCCCTCTCTCCCCCAACCCTTTTTGAATTTTGCTTTCCAACTCATCCAGGTATTCTCAACTCTCAAACTTCTGGGATCCAAGGAATCCTAATTATCAACCGTGCCGGTGACTTTCCCCTTTACATTTAAGCCTAAGGGCTGGGCTGAAAAGGCAGGTTTGGACTTAATGCCTGCAGCTTGTTTGTGCCCATGACTATGTATTAGGCATAGCCAGCTGTCTGAGCTGCCTTTCTGCCTGTTTTCAGTGCCTTCCTATCTTGATTCTTCTTCAGCTAATTCAGATGTGCAACTGCAGTTTAATAAATTAAGTTACCAGAGAAGATTCGATTTTGTGAAGAAAACCTCCCCAGTGCCATCCCAGTGATAGTCACAATCTCTTTGCCTACTGGTTCTACCTGCAAGCATGTCTTGTGGGGAAGGGGTATTCAGGAGGAGAAGGAAGCAGAGACAGAGATGATAAGGGTCGGAGTGGGGGTGGGGGTGGGAGTGGGAGTTCTATAGCAAGGGCCCTCTGTTTCCATGCAACGCCCAAGAGGAAACGTCACGAGCTGCCGGACTTCCCCTCAGTTCAAACGAACCCGGGAGTCCGGAACGAAGAAAAGGGAGGGAGGGAGAAAGAAGCTGAGCCCCTGCCCCTTCCCTCCCCTCCCATCTTTTCCCCTCAACTGCCTATAAACCTGTCCTCCCCATGATCCCCACCGGCGGCGCGCTGCTCTGGGCCCTGTGGCTGACCCTGGGGGCCGGGGCTGTGAAAGCCAGGGTCCTTGTCCAGAGCCACCCCGGAGCGGATTGGGCTGGTGGCCGCGAAGGGGTCACCGTCACGGCAGGGATCCCGAACAAGTTCTGGTCCAAGATGATGAAAAGGAATGAACCTGGTTTGGTTGGGAAAATAATAAATCCCGAGGAAAAGGAGGAAGACAAGCTGGCTGCCCCTGCTGCCGCTGAGCACCTGGCAGCCTCAGTGTCCTCGGTATCGAGGAACCAGCAAGGACAGGGCCTGGAGGAGGGCCAGGAGCTCGAGGGGGATGAGCAGCAGACGGAATACGGAGAAAATGACGAGGACCTAGCACAGGAGGAGGACGAAGAGCAGGACCAGGAACTTAGCCAGATGAAGAAGCATTCCAGAGACCCAGGGCAGGATCAGGGTCAAGCGCAGACAACAGAGCAGGAGCAGAACCAAAAACAGGGAGAGATTCAGGAGACAGAGAAGGAAAAGGAGAGAGAGGGAGAGGAACAAGGGCGGGAAGAAGCGCAAGACCAGGTGCAGGAGCTTGAGCGAAGGCAAGGACAGGGGAAAGTGGGTCAGAGGCAAGAGGAGGAGGCTGGAGGGTTAGAGGAAAGTCAGAGCCTGGGCCGAGAGCTAGAGCGACAGCAGGAGCTGGAGCCGCCGAAGGCGAAAGAGCAGCCGCAGAAACAGGTGGGGAAACAGACGAGGAAGCAGCACCACGTTCATATGCAGGAAGAGGAGGAGCAGGAAGAGCCCGAGCAGCTGCAGATGGAGGAGCAGGAGCGGGAACGGGGGGAGGAGGAGGAGCAGCAGAAGGAGCCGCAGCAACAAATTCAGCAACAGTGGCGGGAGCAGGAGCTGCCTCAGGCGAAGGAGCAGCAGAAGATTCTGGTGCCCGAGCAGCAACAACAGATCCAGAAACTGGCGCAGGAGCTGCTGCAGGAGAAGGAGCCGCAGCAGCAGCCGCCAGCGAGAACAGAAGGGCCAGCGTGGAAGCAGTTGGCCCTCAAGGCCTCTGAGCAGGAAAGCATGGGTCTGGACCCTGCGCACAGGAGAAAGGGACCAGGAATTTTCCCATTCCTCGGTTTCGGGACCTATGAACCGCATCAGCGACCACCCGAACTGGAGCAGATACCATTCCAACCGCATCAGCGACCACCCCAACCGGAGCAGCGACCACCCCAACTTGAGCAGATACCATTCCAACCGCATCAGCGACCACCCCAACTGGAGCAGATACCATTCCAACCGCATCAGCGACCACCCCAGCTGGAGCAGCGACCACCCCAACTGGAGCAGATACCATTCCAACCGCATCAGCGACCACCCCAACTGGAGTTTTCCAACACAGGTTCGATTCCTTCGCTAGATATGCACCTGGTGATGCTAGCTTGGAGCCCGTGGGAATGTCATTGCTCCACGGGTACCATGAGCCGAGTTCGGAGAGGAATATTTTTGGGTTTCACTTGGCGTCTTCGACCTGGGCCCCTGGAGACCCAGCGCCAGCCCTGCACTTATGCCCAATGCCACTGTAACCAGGAGAGGAAAGAATGCCCCTCAGACCACATCTTGTGTTCCTCTACCCCTGGTGCCTGCAACCACCGTGCTTTCCTAACCTCATTGGCAAGTCCAGAAAACACCATCAACGAAACAGCATTCTGGAAACAAGTCCAAGACGGGCTAGATGAAGTTTGGGTAGGACTCCGATCTCTGGTGACCAAGGAGAAAAAGGTGAGCATCAAGGATGAATGAGTGAATAAATAAATGAATGAATGAATGAGGCATTTATTAAGCACTTGCTATGTGCAAAGCACTGGGAATTCCAAGAAGATAACCACTGCTGTAATGATCTATCATCTAATGAATTATCTGATCCATGGTTGTTACTAGTTTTATATCAATGCTTGATTTATTATTATGTGCCAATTAGTCATTGAAATCAACATATTTAGATGGTAACTAATAATTTCTGATCAAATAGCCCTTGATTGTTCTTTGACCAATCTGTTGGTCATCATTTTGTTATCTAAAACTGCTGAGATTGTACAAAGCAATCATTGTACAGATTAATCCTTAATAAATGGAACTGACCCATTGATAATTATTAGATGTGGATGGATCAGTGATTTATCAATTTGTTGGCTAGAGCAACTCAAACAGCACCTACTGACTGGGTAATGAGTAATTTTTACACTGACTAGTATAGTTCCTTTATTTTACTGGTAGGATGATTTTTCAGTATAAGGATGAAGTCAGGTAAATGGGATGTACATTTATCTGTCACTGCCTGTTCCTATTTCTCCCCCTTAATGGGTCTCTTTACATACCTATAAATGTCCAATGAGAGTATAGCTTAATATATAAAATGAGTAGATTGCTTTGTATTCTAGGAGAAGTGGAAAGTTTCAAAGCCTTGTATTTTCCCCACTACTAAAGCCCAAGACATTATCCTGTAAGGTGGTTGGGAGTAGTACTGTGGTTGGGGAGGGCAGTACCAGTAGGATAGTAGGTGGAGGAAAAGTCAAGGAGAAGGGATAATATACAAATGTGATTGTAATTTCCCCCTTTCTCTGCCCTAGATAAAGAGAAACCAGAGGTGATGGCCATGTCCAGCCCCAAAGGAAGAGGAGAGGATGTCAGCACCCTAGTCTCCTTTCTCCCTTCCACTACCACTTCTAATTTTCCACATCCTATGGATATCTTTTGTAAAGTAATAAAGGCTGTTTATTTAAAAAAAAAAGACTCTTTTGATCTTTTATTTCATTGAAGGGGTGGTTGGGCCTAGAAGAGGATGGAGACATACCCCCTCCCAAGAAAAGAATCAGTAATTTCTGTACAGGTTTCCTTCCCTGCTCCCAAGTTATAGCCTGATATATTGTTATTTATTTTCCTTATTTCCAAGGCTAGTTTTTTAAATGTCTGAATCTAGGTCAATCTAAAGTCAAGGAAAGGGAAGTAAAGGAGAGTCCCTAGGAGTCAGGGTCTTCAGATGTTATCCCAGTCTTTCCCCTGACTCCATTTTGTCCAGCCCCTTCCTGAGGCAGGAATTCCTAAGGCCATCTGGGTGCATTCATCTTTGTTCCTCACCCTCCTATACGCACAATGTAAGCCAAGAACCTCCTAACTCCACCCACCCAGATACAACATTGCCTCTCCTCTCCCAACTCCCCATCCCCATAAACCCCTACAAAGAAAGACCCTTCTGAAGCTTTTTGCTGGACAATTTTTTTTTATTTGAAAAAACGTATTTAACAAAGTCTGGCAGTTTTTTGTTTTTGCTTTTTTTTTTTTTGATAAATTAAGACTCTCAAACTCACCCTAATCACTTTTGCAAGTTGGTAGAAGTGATAGGGAAGGCATAAGTGACATCAGGTGAGTTCCATAAAAGGGAAGGCCAATGGTAAGAAATCTCAAAAGGAAAGAAAAAAAGGAGTGTGGCCCAAGACTAGAGATGAAAACCTACAGTGTTCACAGATCCAGCTGATCGGACAGTACTTCAACCCTTCCAGAACCAAGTCAATTCAATTCCCAGGCAGAGAATCCTAGTTTCTACTTAGCTTTCAGGGTAGAATCCAGGCTACCCCTCAAAATAACCAGAAAGATGAACCAAGAGTGAGCCAGGGAATTATTATGCCATATCAACCATTGACCTAAAGAGATATAAAAAAGTAGGAAGAGCAAAGTTTTGAAGAAACAAGAGCCCCTAGTCAGTGTAGGTGGAGGCAAAGTACTTATAAAGATGGAAGAATCGGAGTCTCAGGTCACATGCTCCTAAGAGTTCCTCTCTTAGTGCCTCCTTCCTGCCCCAGGAGTGACTACAGAGACAGAGAACTCCTTGCCTGCTTTCCTCAGTTGAGTGGAAGGTCAGGTTTAGGTTTGGCTTATGTCTTCCTCGATCTACTTCCCTACTCCTTCAGAAAGAGAATAAAGCAGAGAATACCAGAGAAAGATTGGAGGTATCAAGACCCCCACCACTTTCCTCTTTCAAATAACACTGGCCCCTTTTGTCAGGTGGGGAGCTTCTCAGAATTCATCCCAACCCTCACCGGGGTCTGGTCTTGCACAGGAGGGAAACAATATGTGGAATTTTCACCACTGCACTGGCCCTTCCCGTGTCAGGGTACTCTACTAAGGTCTTACTTAGCCCTTTGGGACCTATCCCAATCAGCAAGAATGACATCACACAAACATACATCTATCACAGAAACATCAGATACACACACAGAAATAGTCAAGTTGCATGGCTTGAAAAGGTGTAGAATCTTGCTAATCCTGGCTACAAGTGACCCCATGGCTGTCCACAGCCCAGCTGCAGACTCTAAGATGGGTCAGAACTTGAGGAAGAAAATCACATCCTCAAATCTACTAGGGTTTATACTCTGAGCAGAACCCTGCCCCCAAGCAACCACATTATCTTGAGGTTTCCACCTACAAATTCAAAGGTAGCCTTTTATCTCTCTCCCAGGATGATCAGGAGGTCCTCCCTGAGATATAACTTCCTTCTGTAGTCCCAGGTCCCACTTCCTTTTTCCATTCTCTCCCTCACCTGTGCCAGCAGGGGAGGTCAATGGAGGTCAAGCCTGACCCTGAGAATCTGACAGAAGGACAAATGTCTAGTACACAGGCGGTTTCTCCCAATTCCCAACCCCGAGATAGATGTAGTGGGGATTGTGATGGTTCCTGGCATGGTTGGGGAGTAATTAAGAGAAGTGGTCTTAAATTAACTTTTTAATTAAAAAAAAAAAGTGGGGGAGGGGGAGGGGATAATTGGTGGGGAGATACTAATGCTATAGAAACCAGGGCTCAAAGGCCTTAGGTATTCAGAGATAGATGCTGAAATGCTGTGAGCTGAGGAGCTAGAGTCCAAAGGGGAAAAATGAGAGAAGTAGCTGGTTGTCTTTCCCAGCCCCTCGCCTGAAATCTGCTTTCAGTCCAGGAAGAAAGTTGGAGAGGTTGTGGATATAGGTAACGATCAACAAAGCTGACCTCAGCTCTGCAATGCAACCCATCTACCCCAAGAAGAGGATTCCTAAGGTAGGGGTCCAAGTTAAAGAGCAGCCCAGGGCCCAGACCATCATTAAGGAACCTAGAGTTCACCCATGGTTCCTCCCAGGGGTGGGTGTGAGGGTTCCTATCTCAGGTCAGTTGGGCATCCAAGGCTAGAAGCTGGCTAGCCAGTGGTCATTTGGTCAGTCCTGCTGCCTTGACCCCATCTCCAGGAGGGGCTTGACCAGGGTGGTATAGTGGGGAGTCCAATCTCCCAAGCCCTTCTAGACAATGATAGGGAGGGAAGACAGAGGGGAAGGTCCTGGGGTCATTGGTTCGGGATGGGGCAGCATTCATTTCTTCTTAGCTGAGCACAGGACTGGGGACTCCAAGATGGCAAAACCTGAGTAGGAAAAGAGGGGAATGGTCAGGCTTAAAATAGACTGAGGACCTAGGAGGAAAGGAAAGACCTACTTAGGAAAGACTGTCATTGTGGCTATTTCCAACATAGTGGAGCTTAATGACTGTTTGAACTGAATAAACCATATGTCTCTGACTATTTTGCTTTCTGAATTTCTGCCTCATTCAGTCTCCACATTGCTGTCACTTGCTTGTTTCTTTTAATTACTCTTCTTCTAGCTGTTGGACTTCTCTGGCTGTGGGACTTCACACATATTTTTTCCTCTCCCATTAATTTCCAAGCTGGGTCAGAGGATCAGAACTGAAAAGTTAGAGGATGGAGTGGGTGCTGGGGGAAGGGTTTCTTTCTCCTTCACTCACCATCTCCTTTAGAGCTATAAGCCCCTGGAGCTGCTCCATGGCCTGTCCCGGTTTCCCTTGGATCTCATTTGCTCTTGTACAGCACCTGTCTGTGAGGAAAAGGCATCTTAGATAATTATATTAACCCTTCTGTGTCTCACCTCCCCACATAGATAGATAGCTGTTGTACCCGGAAAGGAGATATCTCAAGCTTCCCTTGCTATTTTATCCCTACGTCTCAACCATGAAGTCATTTCTCAGATCTCCCTGCCTTGCCTCCAGCTATATAGTCTCAGCCTCTCTTCTCTTATTCTGTCCTTCATAAGCATGAAATGTAAGCAGGTATTCCTAATAATATTTTGCATTTGTATAATGCTTTATATTTTTATAACTATTTTTAAACACTCATTTTATTTGACTTTCAAAACCATGTTTTTGAAATAGGCTTTGGAAAAGTCCTTTTCATAGCCCCCACCCGGGCAATAGTCTCAGTCTTCAGTATGAGGGAACAGTTCCTGATGAGGTCCCCATGCCAAGCCTTCCTCTTTTCTCTTATTTACCATGGATAGTCCATCTCCAGCCCCCATCTCTCCAGAGCCAATGTGTGTTAGATGAACAAAATTCATAGGTTCTCCAATCATGGTCCTGTCAATCCGCCTTCTCTTCTTTTTCTGCTGGGAAAGGGTGGAGTGATTAAGAGTAAAGACTGTCAGCCAGAGCTGGGAAAGAGGGACAACATACTAGACAAGATACTCTAGAGAGGAAAGACTTTTTTCCTCGATAAGACCACAGGGGAGAGGGGCAGACAAATGTACTAGGGAATGGGACAAGAAGTGAAGAAGCCCTGTCCTGGGTAGACAGTAATATGGAAGAAAAAGACCTGGCTGTGGTCTATAGTGCAGATACTGAATCAGCTGATGTCACTGGTCAATGAGGGAACAATGTGGATGGTTGCCTAGCACTGCCCCCTGCTGTCTACCCAGGACTGGTGGGCAGGGTGGGAGAAACTGGGACCATTAATTTTTTAGCTTTGCTTCATGTACTAGCTGCCTATATGAGATACTAACCTGGCAGAAAAGCAAGTGTGCCTCAAAGAAGACAGAACCTGGACGATGTGTATAGTATAAGGTATGTTACCTCTTGTGTGACAGGGGTGGGGTAAGGGAGGGAGAAGGAGAGAGACTCACCGGCTGGGGTTTCTCTACCACGCAGCAGCCCAGTTTGTGCCAAAACTCACTCATGTTCCCTGATGGTTCCAGTTTTGTCCCCCTGCTCGAGGCCCCAGAGGGCTCCTTTTCTGGTCCCTTGGTCCTCCTTTGGAGACCTCCTCTTCCCCCTCGTTCTCCTCTGGGGATTGATGAACAATTAGAATGAGTCAGATGGACCTGCGAAGGTAGACTCCTAAGAACCTTCAACTAGTCAGTGCCTCAGACCATGGGAGACTGGGAAGGAAGAGAAGAGAGTAGGACATATGGGGCAGAAAGCTGTTATCTTCCTCAAAACTTGGAGACCTGGAAGAGAGGAGAAGGAGGCAAGGTTAGTAAGTACACTGTCCCCTTGAGGACCCTTTATTCCAATGCCAAAAGCTTCCCATCCTCCTCATATCCTCCCCCCTCCACATTCCAGCACTAACTACTCTTTTCCCACTTCAGGGCTTATGTGTTTCATAACCCTCAGGTAAAGAGGTGACAGTGATGGAAAGGAAAGGGCATTAAAAGGCTGAAGGGCAGAAACTTGGGGTGCTGGGGGAAAGATAAAAGGAGGTGGGGCCAATGATGAGAACAGAGCTAATCTAGGTTGGGGAGTGTTGCAAGCTTCAGCTTTCTCTCCCTGAGGTGGGGGCGGAAGAGGAGGGGCAGATAAATAACTTAGAAGTGAAGAGGAAATAGTGGTTTCTTTTCACCAACAGGGCCCCTAACCCTAACAAGCTTCCTTCCCTACAAACACCATTTCTGCTCTATCTTGTCCCTCCTCATAACTTTGCCCCTCTCCGCTTACCCCCTATCACTTAGATTTCTATATAAACAATCCAGGCCTTATCTAAGACACTTAGACTATAGCGAGAGAGATGACAAGCAGACTTCAGAAAAGGCTTCCTAACAAATTAGATTTCATCCCTTATTTACTGCCTTTACTCATCCTTCATTTTCTCCAACTAAAGTATTTCCCTATTAGCCAGAGAATTTAAAAAAAAAAAA